ATTAGGAAAAACTTCTTCACTGAAAGGGTAGTCAGGCACTGGAAGAGGCTGCCCAGGGAAGTGGTTGAGTCTTCATCCCTGGAGATATTTAAAAGACGGGCAGACGTGGTGCTCGAGGACGTGGCTTAGTGGTGGACTTGGCAGTGCTAGGTTAACAGTTGGACTCAATGATCTTAAGGGTCTTTTCCAACCTTAAAGATTCTATGATTCTATGATAAACAGGTCTTTTTTTGGCTAGTGAAAATATTTTCATATGCTCTGGAGTTTCCTTTTTCATCTTTTTGAATTAAAAAAAATTAGACTGAAAGTAACTTAAATATAACATGCCTCTTTTTTCCTTTGCTATGGCAAAGCCATTAGTTTTCTATGCTTTGCAGTAAAAAGTCACCACTTTTCTTGATTAAGAGAAGGGTTCTACCTTAAATGGTTCATTATGGAATAGGCAAATCAATTTCTAAATCTCAATATGCTCCTAAACGTCTACATCGAGAACCAGCCTTTCACCACCTAACGCTTTTCCAAAGAGAAATGCGCATCCTGAATATTTCTGTCTGGGCTCAAAAAGCCCTGGAGCCCTGTCCTGATTAAATTCTGTTGAACACAAATACTAAATATCACTAGTTAAATGTTTCTAATATATCTCAGGATGCTAAATACCGTATTAAAGCATTGTGATGCTTGTGTCAAGGTTATTCAGCAACTTTGGATTTTTATTGCTTTGGGCTTGCCACAAAAGACAAATATTAAGTCTAGGAGCTGTAGTATTATTAGTAATATTTGGAGACTGTTGCGCACTGCAAAAGATTTTGAGTGAAATATAGTACTTATGACTAAGATGTGAAACCTGAATATCAGCATCTATCAACACTGACCTAATTTTCTGTTATTTTCCACACCTGAATAGTTTTATGTACTCCTTTCACATATTTGCTATATCCCCCTGAAGGCTTTAAGTCTTTCAGAATTTCAAATAAAACTTTCTTACAGGAGATTTGTGGAAAGTTTCTGACTAAGATGGAGCAGAACAAATCTCCATGGAGGTCAGATATTCTTGAGTTTTAAATGGAATTTTCTAAAATGTTTTAAGATTTGGGCTGTGGTTAGAGGAGGCAGCTGAGCTGTTCCAACAGCTGGCTGACACAGAAAAGCCCAGTTCCACTCCCTCACCCACTTATATCCAACCTGTGATAATTTCTCCTCTGTGTCACTTCTAGTTTGATCTCTCAGTGAGCCAATTCTACTTTTTAAGTTGGCAGAAAACTTACCAAGCAAAAAAAGTGGCCATTTTTGGGTAAATGCTATGGAGGTGAATCAGCTCACTGACTGATGAATGTCCGAGAAGGCAAAACACTGAGACTGGAACTACACAGCTGGGGAAGGGGGGATGGGATTGCCTCTTTAAGTGACAGAGAGGTATTGGAGTGGAAAAGGAAATTTTCTAGAAGTTCTCACTACAGAGTTTTTAATTCAGTCCTGACGAATGTTAAAAAATGTTTTAAATCTCTCCTCAACCTTGCCCCCAAACTTTTATTCTTTTTTTTTTTTTTTTTTTTTTAATGGTTACAGATATGATAGTTGTCTTGTATGTATATTTTTATTACTGTTTTTCAGTAGAAAATAAAACTTAGGTAAAAATTACTTAATGGAAGTATCTGAAGGGTGCAATTATCTGGACTCGTGGGCATACAGATTAGACAAACATAAAAAAGCAAGCCGCTTAATGAGGACTGGAATTGAAGTAGATTTTCCTACTGAATTTCCTATTCATTTCCTGCTTTCCCTAGACCCATCATAACTGACTTTGTCCTAATTCTCTTCCATTACCCTCAGATCCTTCTCTCATTCCTACCTATTGGACTAGGTCAAAAGCAACACGTAATACAACTGTTAGACAGTGTTAGATGTGTGTTGCCTGGCTGGTTGGCTGTTGCCTGTTGGAACAGGCCATGAGCTAAGTCATAAACCGCTTTTCTTTCAGTGGCAGCACAGTCTTGATTTGTCTGAGAATTGTCCCACTCATGTCAAATTAGGTTGGAATTGGACATTGGGCTCAAAAATTATGACAGGGGACTGGGAAGAAGGTGGGCAGTTACAGGAGAGAAAGCACAATCACATGAAGTTTCTTACCTTTAAAAACCCCAGTTAGAAATCATTTTAGGTTGTAATAAACATGTTCCTTCTTTTTTGTGCTGATTCTGGAATTCTGTCCTAGCGGGAAGATGCCTTTAATTCTTTATTAGTTAAGTCTCTTTAGGGATATAATATGGATTTCAGGACCTCACCTAGCAAAGTCTGTTTCCATTTCAACTACTAGACTGGTACACAGAGGTGTAAATCTTATCTGTTGACTCATTCTTTTTGTCAGACTTAAGTATTCAGAAATGTTGCTAGGGAGAACAGTCTTTCTAGAACCCCTTCCAGAGCAGTGGAGAAACAGTTTATTTACAGTGAGATTCAAAATGGGAATCTGAGCAACAGGAATCCGAGCAACTTTACTTGCTCTGGGACAGTCACTTGAACTAGCCTTTCTTTCATTATTGCTAAATGAGGTTAAGCATAACTCTGTAGATGTGTCTGTCTTCTTATGCCCAAACCTGTCTATCAAAAGTCATGAGAAGGTTCCTGGTGAAGCAAAAGAAATTAAGGAAAACCAAATATGGGAAATACAAAGGAGGTATCTACTAAGGAAAAAATGTAGGTTGAGCTTTATTCTTGTTAGTGCTTTTGCGGATGACACTAAAGGCAAAATGCAAGATAGCTTGACCACCACAAAACAAATCTCCTGTGTGTGGAACAGTGAAAAAGCCAACTGTTTAGAGGAAGTGACAGGATGAAAGACCACCTTCAAGATGACAGAAAATGTCAAAGGTTTTGAAATAGATGAAGTAATAGCAGAGTTGACTATTACTGCTCTGCAGAGAAACTGGTGAGCTTTTATGAGATTCCTGCTTTCAGGCAGGTCTCTGTCTTGGTGGCAATCAGAGTTATCAGCTGCTCATGGAGCTCAAACTGACATTTCAATATCACACTGTGATTCTGCAGATCCTCATTCTTTTGCAACACTCAGTAATGGAAGAAATTAGACAAAGAAAAACTGCTCATATAACAGATTGAAGGCTTAAGTGTCTCAGAAGAGCTGATAAAGTTTTACTAGAAATCCACACACCTACACTGATAATTTGTGATGGGCTAGACAACATCACTGAAGTCCGGTCATTTCTGAGGAGGTTTGGTGCATTTTGTCTCCAGCAGTTATTTTTGCCTGGTAAGATTTTAGATGAAAAATACTCATAATTTTTCCTTAAGTTCATTTATTAAGAACAAATTAGAAGCAAGGTAAATATTATTTGGAACATATTAATACTAATAGCTTTCTATGAACAACCTTATCTGCAAGTAAAATATAAAAATAATGGCATTTCTGGACTTTCTTACAAGACATGGTGCTAATGAACAACTTTAAAAATCAATTTTATCTAAGTTATCTCATTATGAAATAGACAATAGAATTGCTTTATTGCATAATACAGTGTATTGGGTGTTTACACTTTTATTATTATTTTGTTTTCATTAGTGGTTGAAGATACGCACAGTCATTTGACTTGAATACATTGCATGACTTTTTAAGAAGTAACATTATAACGTGGCAGTTGTAACGTGGCACATTCCAGTGGTTAACTTGCAGACAAGGTAATTGCATGTGTAACTGCTCTGAAAACTCATGATTTACTGTCAGTACTCTGAGATAGTATAATTAGCACAGTTTGTGCTAAGTCTGTATGATGATGTAGTTTTTAGTGAAAGATAATATTGAAAG